GAGTGAAGTTCATAAAACACTTACCTTTGGAAATTGAATATTGCATTAAATTGTAGAAGGTCATAGATCACTGCAGTCTGTAGGGGGTGCCACACCCAGGTAAACCTATAGAATCTGTTGATGTGATAGCATTCTAATTCAAGAGTAAAATGTTCACTACTTGAAATAGAAAGCATAATTTGAAACTAGTTAATTACTGGCTTTGGGAAACAGCAATGCTGATATTTACAAATAAACTAGATATGTCTTTGGTGTGTCTACAAAGCAAATTAAAACAACTTTAAACTACATTTTAGTAGATAAGTTTTTCCTTTGGGTTATCTCTAGTGGAATTTAGATCAGTACTTTTTAAACTTTAAAATGCATTTGAGTCACCAAGAGTTTCTGTTAAAACACAGATTCTGGGTGGAGTGGGGTTTGAGTTTCTATATTTTTTTTTACTGGCTCACAGGAGATGCTGATGCTGCTGACCAAACATTGAGTAACAAGGATCTCCAGCAACCTAGGTTCTGCTGTATGAAAATGTAGGAAGCCAGTGGCTTGACAAAACTGCCTTATTTAAAATTGCTTTATCTGACCATTTTCCTTTTTTAAGAAATTGGAACAACATTGGAACCTTGCCTATCTCCCAAGCTTCCCCCTTGTGTTTCTTTCTTTTCAACACCCTCTATAAGACTCATCTTTCTCTGACTCCTACATAATCACCTTCCATTCATTCACCAGCTCACCAAATCAGGTTTTCATTTGCATCTAAACTGTCTGACAAAGACTTTCTAAATACAAATAGGAACCTCTCTGTGCCAACTTGTATGGTGTGTTTATAAGGTCTGATAGACACTATTGAGCTGCCCTAATGAAATCCTTCCCTCTTTTGGTTTCTGGAACATCAGTTCTTCTCTTGTTTCTTCTTCAACTTCTTTGGTGTTACCTGCTCCATTCCCTGCATGGGCACCTCTGTTTGTCTAGTCCCTTCAATGCTGCTGATCTCCCTGGGATTCATTCTTTTCTCTTCTAACTGACCAGGTGCTCTCCACCCATAATTTCCCCCCATGACCCCAGTTATCATATATATTTCAGTGACTTCCAGCTTTTGATATTTCTACCTCCCAGACTGCCATAGTTCTACTCCCAGGCTAACTGTGTGACCTTGGTCAAGGTTCTTAACTATTCTGATTCTCGGTTTCCACCTACAATATTCTGTGGGGATTAAACAATTTACCACATGTAAACTGCCCAGAAGAGTGCTTAGCACCTATTAAAAATTACAAAATTCAAGCTATTGTGTATTTGTTAAAATTTTGAGCAACAAATGGAGGCTTTTTTTTTTTTTTTTTTTTTTACATTTACATTGCATTATTTTTTTAAACTTTTTTCTGTTATGCTGCATAATTTAGGTATACAGTTAGGTGTTTTAAATAACAAGGATCATAAAATTCCTTTGATTTTCTTTCCCATTTCTCTGCATTGTAAAGGAGCAAGCTACAAGAAATGTATTGATTTGAATTACTCTAGGATAAGACTGGCTAGAGTTTTGGCTTTATGTACTTAGTAATGTCTGATTTAATGGATGCATCTAATGTATAAATATGACACATTTTCTTGGTCATGTTTTTAGTTGTGGACATCCCTCTCCATTTAAAGCCATACGACATAAAACCATCAGTTTTTATCAAGGATTACATTATATGTCAAATATCTGTCTTATAGATGGAATGTTTGGAATTAGTCACATTTGGAAAATATTTTAAACTGATTTTGAATTTATGATTCTATTCCTTTATGTTAATAAAAACATGATATTAACCTAAGACCTAACCTAAAGAATTTTAGCATGACAAATGAGCTTGATAACCAATTTATAAATAAATGATGCATTTAGTGCATTTAATTCAATACACATTTATTAAACATTAATGAAGGGTCACTAGTTGAAGTTAAGTCTTGCTGCCCTCAAATTTCTCATGAGGAGGCAAATGTGTAAATAAATAATTATAGTCAGGTATGTTAAGTTCTATAGTAAATGATGGTAAAACATGCTAGTAAATCAAAGGAGAGAACAGCTAATCTGTCTGGAGAACTCATGGGGATTTTTGAAAACGAAGTGGAATTGGATCTGGAGGACATCACCAGGAGTGAGGGGGAATGGAATTTCAGGAGAAAAGCAGGTGCAAAGACATTTAAACTCGGAAGAGCACTGTGGGTTTGGGAAAGTGATACACAGATTCATTCCATAATCTATGTGGAGGCTGAGAAAAAGCACTTCATGGAGGCCCTGCGTGTGTCCAGCCCCTTCCTCTTTCTCACAGCTTTGTCTCTGTGGACACAGAGTGGACACAACGAGCCTGGGGATGAACACCTCACTGTCCGTCTGCTCCAGGGATAAGCTTCACTTTGGCCTTGAAGAGGGCTTAGGATACTTGAGGAAGGGAATTCTAGGGCTTCAGGGTTTCAGAGTTCTGGGTCTAGAAGGGTGAAGACCTGAGCTCTGTGGGGGAATGTCTTCTTGATCTCAGGGAAGATGACCAGAGCAGGGTTTTCTACAGCCATGCCCAGAGCAGGGGCACCATGGCAGGTCTGAGAATGGAGCCCAAGTTCCTTGTGGCTCATAAATGGGTTGCTTAGAAGTAGTTGGTTATGGAAGATGGAGCTGAGCATTTGGATTAGGGGCAGACTGTATTAGGTTTTTAAAAAATGTAATGACCATTGCCTTTGACTACACAATTGGTGTAATCTAATTTTACTGTGTGGGATCAAAAAATTAAATCAGAAAAATTATACTCCTCAGTTTATGCCATAGCTGTGAATGAATTATTGATTAATGATAGTATTGTTCATTTTCAAAGAATTAGAATGCCAAGAACTATACTTAAGCCAAAAGTTATGTTGGACATAAGTAAATCTTTTTTTCCCCTTCAAATTTGATTGTTGCCAGAACTTTAAATTTTATAGTGATTCAATTTAAACACAGTCTATTAAATGCTGTTAACATCAACAAATTAAAGAATTGTGATGATGTTAATCCTTGTGCTGTAACTACCCTTCATTATAATTCATATGTACTAAAGTTATTTTACAAATACCTAACATAAGAGTGCTTATATTTCTTAAATATTAAGCATCATGTCCATGAGTGAGGCCTAGCAAATACATAGCTAAAACTTTCAACCAAGAAAGAAAGTTGTAATTAAAGAGCTATATTACCTTAAGATAAATGCAAGATTTTTTATTTTATTTTTTTCCACCATTTTCGATGTTTCCTTTAGTAATTCTAATTTCTATCTGAAAGTATTCATCATAGAACATAATCAAATTTGCAATAATTCTACAAAATTTGCTAAGAAATCCTGTGACTGCCAATGTTACAATTGAGAAATCAAATGGAAAGAAAAGATTAAAAAGTAGAAGTATATAAAGAAGGAAATGGAGAAAAAAAAGAAAGGAGAGTAAGAAGGATTAGAAAATTGAGGGATAAATGAGTTCTATGCACTGGATAAATTGTTGTTGATAAGGTGATAACTCTTTGCCCCTTAATGAATAGTTTCCAGAGATGTATACCTCTAATATACATGTATGTTTTACAGATGTGCAGAATATTAAAGACCAGGGGTACAAATTTTGCTGTAAAACTTCTATTTCCTGAGGACAGTGGATAATAAAGAATTAAAATTTGGTTGCATTTTGATAAGTACAATTTTTAAAAGTGTTTTTTTAACCCAAAATATGAAAACCAAGCTAAAATCCTTATTGCTCCCTTGAACTTTGGAACCAAATTATGAAGATGATTGTGAGTTCCAAACTCTTGTTGCAACTAATCAAACATTGATTGTTCAGGCTCCTCTTTGTTAATTTCAGGTAACTGTGATAATAGAATACCACTATACTACACCAGTAAGCTCTCATTTCACATGCCCCAAAGATTAAAATAGAAAGAAAGAAAAAACGTTCCCATGGCAACTGTAACTCAACATGTTGTTTTAAATCTTTATTCTCCTCGGTTTCTTGTAAGTAGAACTCATTTATTTTGCAAGAGAAAATTTAATGTGAAGGAGATACATTGGGTGTGGCAGGAAAAAGTCACTTTTCTCAGCAAAAGACATCTTAATCTCAGGGCATATTCTAGAATTAGCAAGGCTATTATAAGGCAGGCAGTTGCACCATCTCATAAAAATAAAATAAAACACCGTTCAGTTGGTCAGTAGAGATTCAAAATCTTCAGTGTTAGATGAAACATCCAGCTGCCTCAGAAAAAACAGCTTTGTTAAATTGCCCAGATACTGTAACATTGTGTAGACAAAGTCTTGGTTCTATAAAGGTTCAATTAGACAATATCAGGTTTTACTGCTAAGTTGATGAATATGACTCAAATGACTGGCTGAAACATTAAAAATTCAGGTAAAAAAAGTATGATTTGGCCTTTACAATACATAAAAAATGTTAAATTGTTGAGGTCAGTTTGTTTCCAGTTGGTTGGTAGATATTACGTAAAAACTTAAAACCATGCCTAGAGGGAAAAAAAAGCCATATAGAATAACGTGGTTAGAGTTTTCTGTCCAACTAATAACTTTGTAAAATTATAGAGTTCTCTACATTTTTCAAAAGTTTCCATTTATATTCTTGTTTAATTCTCCAAACACATTTTTTAGCAATACAAATAAATTATTGTTTCATATTTAGAGATTAAGAAATTGAGTCTTGACTGGGCACGGTAGCTCACGCCTGTAATCCCAGCACTTTGGGAGGGTGAGGTGGGTGGATCACCTGAGGTCTGGAGGTCAAGATCGGCTGCCTGGCCAACATGGTGAAACCCCATCTCTACTAAAAGTACAAAAATTAGCCGGGCATGGTGGCGGGTGCCTGTAATCCCAGCTCCCCCGGAGGTTGAGGCAGGGGAATCTCTTGAACCAGGGGGACAGAGATTGTAGTAAACCGAGATCACACCATTGCACTCCAGCCTGCGCAACAAGAACGAAACTCCATCTCAAAAAAAAAAAAAAAAAGAAAAAGAAAAAGAAATTCAGTCTTGGGTTAATTGATTAGCCTCCAGCGGTGGATCATTAGGATAATACCCCTAACATTGTTTTCACTTCCCACTGTCTATGTCTATTCCCTTTAAGTAGTTAGTCTTTCCCTGCCTCCGCACCACCGTTGAGCTTAGTCGTATGATTGTTTCTGGCCAATGGGATAATAGCAAATGAGGTGCAAACAGAGGCTTGACAAGTGCTTGTGCATTGCGCATGCCTTTTCTTTCTGCTGCGAATCATTCCGCCACAAGTGAACGAGCCTGTGCTGGCCTTGCGGAAGCCCAGCCGAGGCCTCAGAATTTGGATGAGATCGTGTGAGACCATCCACCCGAGGAAGCCAGCAAAGTGGCTAGAACCCGCCATACGCCCGCAGAATCACAATTGCTGTTCTAAGCCACTACATTTCAGGTGACTTGTTGAGCAGCAAACAAGAGCTGACGAACCTGAAGTCAGAAAATGCTAGCGGAAGAAACAGGACCCAGAACTCCATTGGAAAATGGGTGAGTATTTTACCCAGAAGGTGGACAAAAATAATCTAAAGGATTATAAAAATGGAAAAGGGAGAAATCAAATCCTTTTTATAGTGAGTATCAAAGGCTTTAATTTTAGTTTATTTTTACAAAATTCTTTTATCTTTTAGTTAAAATAGCTGTTATCTCCAGACACATTTTTCTACTTCTATATTTGTCCTGTAGTCTCTTGCATCATAGTACGTGGCTTTTATGTGGTTAAATTTTCTAGTAAAGATGTAAGATAAAACTGTTCAGGTTCATTTATTATGTTGACATATTTATAATTCATGGCATATGTATTTTACCTTATTCAGGTCTACAGAGTTTAATAAAATAACCAAGGAGATATAAAGTAACATTTTCTATTTTTAAGCTTCCTTCTATAGTGGTTTTGTGAACTACTGAATCAGTAGTTCAGAATTTAAAGTACACCAGGTTATTTTTTGTTTTTGCTATTCACATGATATCAGGATATTGTGCAAAATATCCCAATGGGGAAAAAAAAATCGTTTTTCAGTGTTTGTCATCTTAGTAGTTGCCTTGGTGAATTTCCATCAATTATTCATCAAGTTTTCTACTGGTTTTGTACCGAGATTGATCACTTTCAGACATAAAATAATGTTTTTAAAATAAAGATTTAATTTGCAAGGGATTAGGGAAGAGGGTAAAACAATGGCTTTTCAGAGGAGACTGGCAGTCACTTTAAAGTCCAGAGCTGTAGCATGGCTTCATAATACCCCACTTAAAAAATATATATATCTCACAGTAAAGTAAACATTTTGACAAGGATGTAGACATCAGTTGGAGCTTATCCAGTATTAAACAGAAACATGTGCTTTGTTCAAGGCATTTGCAGAAACAAAACCATCTTGCCTTTATTTATTTATTTATTTTTTCAATCTTCTGTTTATGCCAGGTCATGGCAAAAGAAGGCCAGGGAGTTGGAAACAAAGGCAGATTCTTTTTTCATTTCATCTAAAAACTGAAACAGTCTCTCATCCTCCTCTTCCCCAAATGCCTTTATCCATTACCTCAAAGCCTAGGCTCTCACCTTACCCAGACTTACCCCTCCGTCTGTTAACATATAGACATGCTTTGGTCCAGTGGTAATTGTAAGTGCCAATAAAAAGGAAGCTGAACACATACTCCTCCCTTTGAAGAAAATGCTGGGAATCCACTCTCTTTTTGGTTTTATTTTCCACCTTATCTGAGCTGTACCTGCTGGTACTGCTGTTCCCTGTGATATGAGAGCTTCCCATTCTGGAAATGGAGAGAACATTTTCTCTTCTAAACTAAAAGTTTAAAACGTTATTAATATCTCATACATCAGTGCCAGGAGAGAGTGTACCTGCTTCTTCTGGACCATACAAACCCCCAAATTTGAGGCACTGCACTATATTAAGTGGCACAGACAACAGCTATGCAAAACCAAATGTCAAGTGACTTCTGTCCGGTAGGATAAACGAACACCAAAAAAAGGAAATGCATCTCCAACCCACAATATTTTTGTTTGTTTTTATAGGGATGATGTAACTGGTTAAAGTTTTCGCTTTTCAACTCATTACAATGATGTGACTTTAATGCCTTTTTTAGCTCCACTCAGAATAATATATTGGGGTAATTTTAGAGTTGCAGGGACGATGAGGCACTGACAGAGTTTTGGTTAAGTTTTTAAAATTATTTTTTGTTTTCAAAGTATGGTAAAATAATCTGTGTGAGGCAGTTTTACATGTGAAATTTTCAAATTACCCATTTACAAAATTTAAAGGTAGTAAAATGGGAAAACACCCATTTTTAATATTTCCATAAAATCACAATTGTAACTGATGTTTCCACAGTCACCCATCTGAGGAGGGGGAGGACAATATGGTCATAAAAGCGACTCCAGATCCAAATTCCATGGCTCATGCTCACCAATTGGCTTTCTGAAAGGAGCTTGAGCTCTCTTGTTACTTCTTTCGAGAATTTCTTTCTCAGACCTAGGCAGAAGAAAGGGAACTCACAAACATTTTCCCATTAAGAACACCTTTTGCGACTGGACATGGTGGCTCACATCTGTAATCCCAGCACTTTGGGAAGCCCAGGTGGGTGGATCACTTCAGGTCAGAGGTTTGAGACCAGACTGGCCAACATGGCAAAACCCTGTCTCTATCAGCAATACAAGAACTAGCCGGGCATGGTGGTGCATACCTGTGATCCCAGCTACTCGGGAGGCTGAGGCAGGAGAATCACTTGAACTAGGGAGGTGAAGGTTGCAGTGAGCTGAGATCGTGCCACTACACTCCAGCCTGGGTGACAGCGTGAGACTCCATCTCAACAAACAAACAAACAAACAAAGTACACCTTTTGGTGATTAGGACCAGCTCAAGCTGCTTACTGACTGAAATCTGTTTTGTAGCCTTGTCATTTTCTTTTACGATTACCAGCATCATGTTTTGGATACCCCTAGCGGCAGTCGGGATGTTGACCTGCCATCCTCAGAAGGGTTGTGAGCTAAGCCACTCCTCCATGGTGCTACCTGAGGTTAGACCGCATCACTTCCCCTGCCCAAGGTTGGTGGGGGGCCTGTTTCTCACAGCACCACTAGGTTCACATCTTACCAGTCATCATTCATTATAAACATTAAAATTCCTCTCTCTCTCTCTCCTTCACTTGGACTTCAGATTAAATTCTCCATGTCTTCCACCCCTATCCCAGTTTATTTATTAATGATTATCGGACATTGGTTCATGGCAGCTTTTCTAAAATTTAAGAAGTTGGTTTAAGAAATTGGATCATTCAGACTAGTTGTTACCAAACTAAGTATCCTGGGGTACATGAAGAATCCCGGGGAACATGTTCACATGGAGAGCTTTAAGGGGACAATTTTCAGACTCTGAACATTCTCTGTGTTTTCTGTTCTAACTTTTTCTTTCTGAGAAGGCGTTTGTGTTTGAAGACCCAAGCAGGTCTTCTTTCTTACCTCCCGTTTCAGAATCGCCCTTATCCTGTTTATAAAGAAAGGCATGCCTTTCACGAATTCAGAACCTCATTATTGTTTGGTGTTCCAGGGTATACAGACTTCGAGGATGCCAGACAAAGAGATCATTTGAAATATTGTTGTCACTAAGCCTTCTTTGATCAAGACACCATGAGCTCATGGTAAGTCTTCATGTTGTTCTGCCTTATATTTATTTTTAAGTGAGAAGAGTTGTATGTTGCAACATTCTGAGGCTACGTGTACCATGAAACAGGACAGCAGGACTAGACAATTTTCACTCAACAATCTTGCCTTCTTTGGCTATGCACTTGTATGTGGACATCTATTTCAAATGGAAGAGAGACAGTGTGCCTATGAACATGGACTCTGGACTCATAGCCCTTGTTTATAATCCATCTTCGTTACTCACTAGCTCTGTAACTATAGGCAAGGCAAGCCTCAGTTCCTCATACATAAAATGCCATTAAAAGTAATGCCTACCTCATAGGGCTGCAATGAGGATTAATAGAGACAATGCTGGAAACGCATTTCAGAGAAGAACCAGAACAAAGCAGATGCTTGACAAATGCTCATCTCATACATAACCATGCTATAGATTTCCTTATCATAAAGTTACAACAGGAGAACATCCTCAGGCAAAACCAACTGTCCAGCTTAATGGTAAAGAATATTTAACCTTGCCCAAAGAAAGTCTGGCTTTTGCCCTTGTCTCATGGGCGGTAATCTCTCTAAATCATTGGGATATCCTATCTGATAGATGTATCTCTGTCACATGCAGGCTTTGGGCCAACTGGATAATAACAATGTGATTTAGGGTAGGAGTTTTGGTTATGCAATATCTGCTGGGCCTCTGGAAGGGCTGGAGACTGAAATCAGCCATGTGGGCAGTCAGTCATGCCTGTGTAAGAGAGTCCCAATAAAATCTCTAGACACCAAGGCTTGGATGAACTCATTTGTTTGGAAATGCTCTGTGCATATTGTTACACATTGATTCTGGGAAAGTAACACAATTCATAATTCCATGGGGAGAGGACAACTAGAAGCTCCATATTTTGTAATTTCCAGGACTATGTCCTATATGCCTTTTCCCTTGGCTGATTTTAATCTGTATTCTTTAGCTGTAATAAACTGCAACCATGAGCATAACAGCCTTCAGTGAGTTCCGTGAATCCTTCTAACTAATTATCAAATCCAAGAGTCATTGTGGAAGCCCCTGAATTTGCATTTGATTGTCAGAAGTAAGTGCAGTTTTGTGGACTATTCTCTCTAAACCTTGCATCAACAAAACATCTTTTTCCTTGCATCCATAGGGGTTGATGTTTTTCTGTTGGCCAACTTGGATTTTGTGATAATTTGTCCAGGAACTCAACAATTAACTCTATCTTTCCAAATAATAGCACACATGGAGGAGAATTGCTTCTCCTGACTGACAGTCAAGGAAGAACCTGGAAATGCTCAGTGGTGAGTGTTCCTCATGCAGCTGGCAGAGTACCTTGGTTTCCAATCAGCACCACAGGGCACTCAACAAGGATGAGGAACTGAGTTACCCTTGACAAGTCAGTGTCCACACTGACATGATTAAGTGGGAAAAAGTTTGTCACTTTCTCTATCCCTTCCATACTAGTGAAGGTGGTGCAGGAAGCATGGATATCCCATTCCAAATTGAGTGATGTGTGGATGGTAATGTATTCCACTTAGCTTCAAAGTTCCTTTCTACATTCTTGGACATGCTTTTTATGTCTTTAGACACTCACTTTACTCCACCTGCTTGCATTTACTAGACACTATAAGTTGGGAATTGTGATGGTTAACTTATGCGTCCACTGGGCTAGTCAATGGTGTGTAGTTGTCAAACACCAGTCTACATGCTGTGGTGAAAGTATTTTTCTTAAGATTTGCTTAACTTTTAAATCAGTAGACTTTAGGCTGGGCATGGTGGCTCATGCCTGTTATTTCAGCACTTTGCGAGGCCAAGGAAGGTGAATTTACTTGAGCCCAGGAGTTTAATACCAGCCTGGGCAACATGGCAAAACCCAATCTCTGAAAAAAAAACAAAAACCAAAAACGTAATATTCACCTGTTGTGGTGCACATGTGTAGTCCCAACTTCCCAGGAGGCTGAGGTGGGAAAATCACCTGAGCCCAGGAGGTCAAGGCTACAGTGAGCCATGATTGCGCTACTGCTCTCTAGTCTGGGTCACAAAGTGAGACCCTATCTCAAAATAAAAGAAAAATAATTAATAAATAAATCAGAAGACTTTAAGTGATGTGGGTGGATCTCATTCAGTTAATTGAAGGCCTTAAGAGCAAAGACTAAGGTTTCCTAAGATAAATGCAACTCGGCCTCAAGAGTATGACATATAAACCTGCCTGTATTTCTAGCTTTCAGATTTTGACTAAAGACTAAAACATCAACTTTTTCCTGAATTTCCAGTCAGATGGCCTGTTCTACAAATTTCAGACTTGCCAGACCCTATAATCACGTGAGCCAGTTTCTGAAACTAAATCTCTCTCCCTGCTCTGTCCCTTTCTGTACACTCTATTGGTCCTGTTTCTCTGGAGGACTCCAAAACAGGGGTGGAGGCACTTGAGCGTTATCTCAAGGTCATCACTGAATATGAACTTGACCTAGCCTACTGGAATAAAGGAAACAATAAAGACAGAATCCCTGTGTGGGGACAATGTATAGAATGCTTTTCCATTTTCCTCAAAGTCTTCTATTTCTATCATTTTGCTTGTGCAAAGATAATTTGCCAGGAATATATTGGTCCCAGTGTATTCCCAACAGATTGTTTCCCAGTCGTCTGGGAAGGACGTATTCTGCTAATAGTATCCACAGAACAATGACAACTCAGAAAATCTAGTGGAATCTTCTAGCCTAAACCTAAGGACAGCAATGGCAAACCTCTGTGAATTGCTGATCATCTTCCATGGGATAAACACTACTGATACATTATCTCATTCAGTCTCCATCACAACAATGCCTAGTAGTCATTATGTCTTCTGTTTTAAAGATGGAGAAAGTGAGGCTCAGGAATCATAAGTAATTGTGACAGTTATGAAGACAGCACAAACAGAAGCAGGATTGACAGTCAGGATATCTGATTCCAAAGTTCCTTATGTTTTGATGCATCCGTTAAAAGATTCTTTCTAGTCAAGACTTAGGAAGCACAGGTGGTAAAATGGGACCACTACCTGAAGGAGGCTTTATCTTGGTAAGTGACATGAGATTGTCATGCAAGCGATAAATAGCACAGGCCAACAGGGCATACGTTGCCACCAGAAATCTTGGTTGCCATGTCTAGGGAGTTGTGTATGTAAGTCATGAATTGTGGGTATCAGCTTGTAAGAAGTAGACAGGAGACAGGGACTCAGAGATGGAGCAGCTGGAGCAACTGTGAGGCCAGAGGCTGAGTTCTAGGCTGCATTCTAATTTAACTGCTCTTTGACTTCGGACAGTTATTTCCACTTCTCTAGGCCTAAACTTCCTCACCTCTGAAAGGAAACTGGATTAGAAATGCTTTACTTGTGTAGGTCTCTATTTAAAACGTGGTCCCCAGCAGAGTATCTGGTAGCTTTCTCAGGCAGAAATGTTATTTGTTGTGCGGTTTCCCCATTTGAGTCACTTATACTTCTCATTATCTGTTCTTTCTCACAGTGTATTTGTCTAGATCAGTTTTAGAAAAAAACAGTCGGGTAGGAATCGCAACTACTGCTCTGAAACATTATTTTAGCTTCTTTGGTCTTCTATTTAAAAGCCTGAGTTGTGGTCACCCTACTCTAGGGAAAGAAATTATTTCAGAATGTCAGCACATGACCTTGAGAAAGTTTACGTCTTTAAAAATGTGTCTTGAAGTGTGCAGAAGAGGCGTAATTTGCATACTTTTGTTTCCTGCAACAGTGTTTTTCCAAATAACACATCTGTTATGTCCCTATTTGCCTGTAGCAATATAGAATGCATACTCTCTTTGACAGAGAAAATTAATAGTGCATTAGGGAGCTTTCATTTCTGGAATAGCTGTTCAGATTTAGTCTAGTCATCTAATCCAAGGTATTAACATCATTTTGGGTGCATGATCCTTGGGAGAGTAAAATTCCATATAAATGGCCATCAGCATCAATTCTGTGTTTCAATTTGACAGTCACTCTTTTAATATATGCTATGAGCAAGGACCAAAGCCAGGTGAGATGTATAAATACAAACAACTTCTTTGAGATTCAGTTTCTTCACCTCTTGTAAAGTAATACAGTTATTTTGCTGAAATGCTAATGATTATGGTATATACCTCCAATAAGAATTAAATGAGATGGTGGATGTAAAATGCCTGGCACAGCTCCTGGCATGGTGAAGATACTAAAAAAATAGTAACTTCAAAGCAAAAAGTGGAGCCCTTGTTGCCCTGAAATAATTGAATTCAAGTAATGGGAATCTAAAGCGAGATCCCCAACAATAAACTATAATGTAAGATAGAATACAATCAGTACTTACCATTTCATAACAAAAATGGAAAGAAAAAAATTGGGAAGCATAGAGAAGAAGGCAGATAGTATTTCTGTCTAAAGAAATTAGGTGAAACTTCATTAAGTAAGTGACAATTTTTGGACCTTACAAGATAAATTAGGTTTTGATATGCATTGTAAGGGTATTTGGTTTTTACACTTCTTAAAATAGCAGCCATGATCAGCACAATATAACTAAGAAGTTAAACTTCCATGGTAAAGGATTGTAATCCTACAATTAAAAGTAGTTTCAAGTCCACGTTTCAGAGCCCTGTCTCTAGTTTTGGCCCAATTAGCCCTTCTGTCAATGACTTGATTATCACCTTATAAGATGATATAAAAGTGGGAGATAATTTAAGTCCAATGAGTGGGCTCAATCTAATAAGATGATGTTTAAAAGCAATAAATACATTTATAGTTCTGTACTTAGGTCCACATAATTAGGCAAGAGAGTTTAGGTTACAAAGAAACCCAATGGTTTTAGTCAACTGTAAATCCATGCATGACATAGCATCCAAAATTTCACTGAGATTTTTTTCTCTTCATTAATAAAACAGTCTCACTGAATAAATATCCAATTAGGTCCTTCTGCATGCAAAGAACATATAGCAGTACAGAGTATGCATGCACATGGACATTATAATCTTGAAACTGAAATTTCAGTAGAATGAAGAGAAGTGACACAAATTTTTTACAGTTAAATGTTGCACAACAATTGTGACAAATGTTGAGAGGGAGAAATGTGGGGTGTCATCCATGCACATGAGATGGGGACCTGAACTCTTGTCAGAATCAGGGAAGGCTTCCTTGGGAAGTGATTTTTACTGAGATCTGAAAGGTGAGTAGGAATTAACCAGGTAAAAAGCAGCAAGAGGGTCTCTCAGGGGAAACAGCATATTTAAAGGCCATTGAACTGTCCCACAGGGTCTCATATGTATTCCTTCTGCTTCTGATGGTTTGATGCAGGTGTATATGGGGGCCTTGGAAGATATATATTGATGGATGTACAAATTATTACTATCAATTTGGAAAATAATCGGCACTAGCTTAAAAATTAAAACATTGTCTTACTCCATAGCCCAAAATGAGAAGATAGAGTGAGAAGAGAAGGCGTGCCAGGTTTGAGCCTTAAAGGCATTTAGTTAAGTTGGTAAGACTTGTGAGAGCCAGATAACTTACAGAAGGTGGATGTGGTCAGTGTTATGAAAGACATGAGTAAGGCTTTGTAAAGCATAGAAAATATTTTTATTTTATTTTATTTATCAAGATGACGTTTCAATTGTCTTTATAGAAAGATCTAATTTTGTCGGGCAGAATTAGGGTGTTCTCAATATAAAAAGACTGATTAGAAGAGAATAAGACAGTCAAGATGATTTAACGGAATTAACCAGAGAGGTGAGAGGGAAATCAGGAGTGTGTGCGATGATGAGAATTAGGAGAAAAAAGCATTACAAAGAGAGAAGGGTCACAATCTGGAATGACTTGACAGTGCTGAAATCAGATGAGAACTGAACTATATCCACTGTATCCATTGAACTGGAAGTTATTGAACTTAGCATGAGTAGATTGAGCTGTAAACATGAAGTGAGCAATGGAAGTGGCAGGTAGAGAGTGGGAGATAGCAAATAGAAAACTCAAAATTGTGGGACTCGAAGGGCAGGATCCTTGCTCTGTTGATTTTTGTGTTTTGGGAAGGAAGTATAGTGCTATAGTCATGTAGTACTCATACAAAAATTAATTTCAGTTGGTGGATGAATGAGTATTTGGAAAAAGAAAGGTTAATTATACTAGAAATAGGACAAGACTTTGGGGAAAAAGTGTTGAGAGTATACTCTGGCTCTAGCAAATTACTAACTTTGTGACCTTGGGCAAGTCATTTAACCACTCTGAGCCCTAGTTTCCTCATTTATAAAATGAGCGTAATGGTAATTGACCTAATTTCCCAAGAGAGTTGGTGAGAGTGTGAAATAGGAAACTTTCCATGGATGTGCTTTATAGACTGTGGTGTGCTTATCAAATAGACACTCATATTTTCATATTGAAGGATTAGAAGCTATGTCAGAGACTGATGAGGTAGCCTGTTCATTTCCTCTTCTTGGACTATGTTTCCCTGTTGCACTTGCAGTGAGGTGGCCATATAGTTGAGTTTGAGCCAGTGACATGTGAACAGAGGTGATATGTGTCTTCCAGACTCAACCACTGAACCGTCCCACAAGGGCTCCTATGTGCTGCCTCTGCTTCTGGTGGTTTGATGCAGATACATATGGGGGCCTTATAATATATATACTGATGTATATTCAAATTGTTACTACCAATTTGGAAAATAATTTGGTACCAGCTTCAAAATTAAAATATTATCATACTCTGTAGTCCTACTATTCTACTCCTAGGTATATTTATTTCAATGAACCTTGCAAATGTGCATTAGAAGATATCTGTAAGTGAGTTTATTGATTATAATAACCCCAAACTGAAAACAGTGCAAATGCCTATCAGTAGGAAAGCCAAATGTCCATTAACAGAAGACTGGAGAAAATAATTTATATTCACAAAAAGATTATATAATAAAGGCCAGTTACTATAACTACATGCAACTACATAGATGAAAGAAACATAACGGTAGATGAAAGAAACATAATGGTAAGTGAATAAAACAAGTCACAAAAGAAAATCTATCTTGTGATACAATTTTTTAAAACTAAAAACAAAAAAAGAGAGAGAAGGAAAGGCAAAACAAAGCAACACGTTTTTTCAGGGCTGCAAGCATTGTGATTTTTTTTTTAAAGATGAAGGGAATTGTATAAATAATCTGTTATTAAAGTAATACTGCAAACCACCACCCCAAAACTCAGGAGCTTACAGAAAGTAACATGTATTATATTATCGATCTGGTTTCCACGTCAGCTGTGTTTGTCTGATCTTGCCAGTGCCTGGCTGATCTTGGCTGGGCTCACTGCTGCTTCCATGAAGCTACAGGCCGGCCGGGTGGTTCTGCTAATCTTGACTGACACATGCTTATGGTTTGGCTGTTGGCTGATCAAGGATGGCCATGATTTAAGGTGACACAACTCTGCTTCACATATCTGTCACCATCCAGCTGTCTAACCTGGCCAGGTTCTCAGGTCAAGGCCCAGAGGGAAAGAACAAGAAAGGCTGATTCTGCCAGGGGGCACGCAGGAACATGCATGTGCTTTCCAAGGCTGTACTTGCATCTTATTTGCTTACAGCCCACTGGCAAAATAAAGTTGTCCTGTCAAGCCTGGAGTCAGGGGGAGGGGTCCCCATAATGGTATAGAGCAAAGGACATTTGGGAGCCCAATAATTAGGGCCATTAATGCTATCAATCCACTATAGGAATACAGGATTATGACAACCCCTATCAGGGAGGCAGGGGGTGAAATAGAGAAGAACACACCGTTACTGGCAGGTTGTTGATAATATTTTAGTTCTTAAGTGAGGCAGAAGTTAGAGGTTTCACTTTACAAATTATACTGTATAACTTACATACACATTACATATATTTTTGTATGAGCACAAAATCCTCTATATTTTTAAATTGGGCAAGAAAGTTCCAAAACAAAGCAAAAACCTTTCAAATGTAAGGAAAACAAAGAAAAACTGAAGGGCTAATTTGGGAAGTCCAGTGGCAAATTGGGCCTTTGGATTCCATTTCTAGGTTCTGCAAAATGGGATATCAATTGTCTCCTTTTAATAGAAGACTGTGACTTTGACAAAGAAATCACTTATTAAAAGAAGTTGAAGGGCAGGTTTGCCAACTGGGGAGAATAATTCTCTCTCTCTTCTGGAGACCTCAGATCAAATTTCAACAATGTTGAAAAGCCACGTTTATTCTGCTCTACTTTCCTGCCTTTTATTCTGTTTGTTTTATTCCTGGAACAAAGATACCACAGCTTGTCTTCGAAAGACTTCCATGTGAGTTTGAAAGGGTGTAGAATTTGGAACATGCTCTACCTCAGATAAAACTCCTGATTTTTTTTTTCTTTCTTTTTTTTTTTTTTCAAAGCGCTCCTCAATCAGACCCAGATCCCAGACCTCCGGGGTTTGATTCATTCATCTCTAGCTAAGACTATGTTTTCTAGCCTCTCTCCAGAAGACTGGGAGATTCACTTTAAAAAGACGCTGCTGCTCGTGCTTTTTTCTCATCACAAAAGAATTAATGTCTGCACAGCCCTTTGAAGATGTGGTGTCACGCATGTGCTATTATTAATAATGAAATACAGATCTGTTTCACACCATCTGAAAAACAGGGTTTTGCCACCATGAAGGAGCTTTTATTTCTACCAGGTCTTCATGATGCGTAGCCCAGATCCAGCTCAGCTTCAGACTGGGGAACCATGTCCCAGAAAACGGGTAAAGAGAGGAAACAGCTGGAGAGAAACAAAACAACACACAACACCCAATACGTTAACAAATAAAAATGAAAAGGAGGCTTTAATCACCATTTGAGATCACTTCCCTGATTGCAAGCATTTTAGATAGAACTCAGCACCTGCTAAAGATGGGGCCTGGTGAGTGGATCCTGGATTCTTTATGCATTCTGAAGAAGGTAAACATCCCCAGGTTCATGAGCCAGTTCGAACAGGAAAGAGGGTACTGATTGCAATCTGCTGTTAGTATTTCCTTTTGTATTTGTTCAGTGCTTTGAGTCATTCTCTTTTTCTTCTCTGAAACCACTAACATTGCTCCTCCAGTAGCCTTTTGCATTTACAAGCTACCTTATCATGCCTGGGTTTTTGGGAAAGGGAAGATGGATGTAAAGTGAGGCTACTGTAAACAACAGTTCAATAAAGGCTTCACGACAGGGTCCATTTAGGGAGGTGAGTGCAAACATTCCATGAAATAAAAAGAACTGCTTCTGTGGGCTCAACTCACAACAGGCACAGCCGCTGTCAACAGCAGCCTGAGAAGGAGCAAATTTGAGAGCTGGGTCTATTCTTATTTTTTATTTTTGTAAATCTTTGCACCTGTCTTTGGTGGCAAGATTCTCAACTCATTTCCCTTGTTTCTGCTCCCCCTCCTCCCTGCACTCTATGCCTCGCTGGGGTTCTGCTTGTTTTGGAACTGGTGATTCAAAATGGACTCCAACATTGTTTCTGAATCACAAAGAGTGTGCAGAAGAGGGAAGTATTTCTTGCTCCATTCCAGGCCCCAACACAGAAGGTGCTGTGTGGAAAAGGGAGCTGAGGGGAGAAGAAAAAGAGGAGGGGAGAAAAAAGAGGCAAAAGTAAAAAAACTCAAGGAAATCAAGACCATGCTGTGCAAAATTGTTACAGCTGTTTCTGTTTTTATTGGCTGTTTCTTTTGGCTTCATTTTTTCAGCAACTGCAGTTCATATGAGCAGGAAGGCATACAGCATGGCCGAGCTCCACGGTGGTGGGCGGAGGGGAGGACAGAAAAGGGACTGAGAAGAGGATGGAAGGGGCTGGGTGTGGAGGTTATGAATTGTGGCACAGTGCTTAGAGGGGACACACATCAAAGCATTTCTTTTTTGATAGTTTTATGGAAGCCTTAGCAATAGAATTTAGAGGCATTTACTGGAAAGCTCCTAAAAGCATCCCATCTCCATGGCTGGATCAGATTGGTGGTCTGTTTAAGGTAGTATACTACCCTTGAAATGATGCTCTGATATCTCTGAGGAAATAATGTGTCAGGACACATCCCTTCCCCTTTCCCTCCTGGATGGTGATTCACCTAGACCAGTGCACAGGGCAGAACATACGGGGAGTGCATATTTTCCCTGGGGGACTCTATTTCTCATGGTTACAAATGGAATGAGTTATATGTCTGCTCAGTGACCCTATGAAGATACTGGCAGCTGGGATACAGCACCTCAGGGCTTGGAGCAAGTTGCTCACCCACCTTGATCCCCCTGCAAAGCAGCTGGAAGGTGAGCCAGAGACAGGCACATGAAAAAAGCTCACAATGAGTCTCTGTGTCTTCCTTAAAACTTCCTATTAAATATGTGATTTAAATGACGTTTTTAAGGTTTCTGAGACTGCTTACATTGGAATTCTTGAATCTGGTAGTATTTTTAACTGCACTGGCCCTAATGCGCGCACATACACACACACACACACACACACACACACACACACACACACACACGTTCACATTGACTTTCACTCTTTTTTTTTTTTCTTTTTTTTTTTATACAGAGTCTCACTCTGTCACCCAGGTTGGAGTGCAGTGGCATGAACTCGGGTCACTGCAACCTCCACCTCCTGGGTTCAAGCAATTCTCTGCCTTAGCTTCCCAAGTAGCTAGGATTACAGGCACCCGCCACCAGGCCCAGCTAATTTTTTGTATTTATGGTAGAGACGGGGTTTCACCATCTTGGCCAGGCAGGTTTTGAACTCCTGACATCATGATCCACCTGCCCTGGCCTCTCAAAGTGCTAGGATTACAGATTCTCACTCTTAATCAAATTAATTTTCCAAACTCTAAGGAAACATCTTTCTAAAAGTGAAAATTGTGTTCCAAATGAGGGCAAGTGGGTAAGAGAACTGGAAGTTAGAAGATATAGCAAGGGGAAAAAGTATTTATTTATATTTGACTTGCAGTTACATCCAAAGGGAAAATATAATAAAAAGTTGATTAATAACAACAAAACCCCCTATATCTGGTGATAAGTGTTGTTTGCATGCTTTCACATTTTAAACAAAATTCCAGCCATGCTGTAGAATGAAAGGTGAGCCTGAATCCCAGTGCCCATGCATTGGTTCTGTTTTGGAGACTTGGTTTTGCTCTGAACTGGGCTTCTGACTTACTTGGTTACTGGAGGGCAAATCATAACCAATATACCTTAGTGTTGTCATCGAAAAATGGAGGTATACTTGGGAAGATGGACTAATTAAAGGTTGCAAAGCACTTTTAGTCTATAAAGCCATGTGTAATTACAACCATTAAACTAATAATATAATGAAGTGTTGAAGGTTGTGTCTTGGTCATTTTGTTTTCTGAATTAGGGAGGGAGGACTCCTTCAAAGCGCATTCTGTTTACTTTCCCAAGGAAATTGTCTCAGTCCATTTTCTGTTGCTGTAACAGAACACCTAAGACTGGGTAATTTACAAAGTAAAGTGATTGACTGGCTCTAGAGGTTGGTAAGTCCAAGATTGAGGGGTTGCATCTGGTAAGGGCCTTCTTGCTGTGTCATAAAATGGCAGAAAGCATCACATGGTGAGAGAGAGCAAGAGTAGGCCAAATTTGCCTTTTATAGCAAACTTCCGATAATAAATTAATCCATTCATCCAGAGTCCTCATGACATAATCACCTCTTAAAGGTCCTACCTCTCAACACAGTTGCACTGGGGATTAAGTTTCCAACACATGAACTTTGGAAAACACATTCAAACCATAACAGAAATTAATGAATGAAAAGAAAAAACTGGTGATTTGGACCAATGTGCTCTTGAACAGTTGTGTATTTTGAGATATATTACAAGCTTTTTTTGCATTTCCTAATATTATTTTTATGTTCACTATGTTACTATTAAACATTTTTTCATTATGTTATTATTTTGTTATGTACTAATAGTAGTTAATAATACATTTACCAAGTATTACATTGTTTAAAATTTTTCAGTTGGGATAGAGTTTACCAAATGTAGAGTAAGCTTGTCTGTTTTGAAATGGAACTCACTAACTTCTTAACCCAGGAAAATCAGCAATTTCATTAGATTAGAAATGCATAGAGAAGCTATTCTCTGGGTACAAAGATTTAAATTATTTCTTGTGAAAGACACTAGTTTAAAACAGACACAAGAGAAACTCTGTACGTGGTGCTGACACGTAAAGAGTTGGACAATGAGTTTTCCCTTTGCACCTCAACTTCTCACTCAATGTCATGGTGGGCACAATTATTTTGCCTTAGGCTTTAGCTGCAAAATGGGTTGATAGCACTTGACCACAAATGGAATAATTACAATGAGGTTTGGAAGCCTACAGCATTTTTATTGAGGCATTTCCTCCTTGCGCATCTGTTAACTGTTATTACAGATTTGAGATACCATTAATCAGTAGCATCTTTAACAAATGTAGAGTAGATTTTTGCATACTGAGGTTCAGCCAGGCACCCCCATTAGTTGGCATACATTGGACCTCACTTGCGAAAACATGTTTCTGCTATTATCCTTACAGAAGGCTGTATGTTCACACACATGCACAATTATGAGACTGAACACTCCCTTCTTCTTTGGATTGCTCTTTGATCTTTTGTAATTTTGCTGCTTGTGTCCATATGGAAATGTTAGCAACCAGCAGGCAATTCCTTTCCATTATGATTCCTCCTCCATCGTCTTTCCCCCTGTTGTTTCTTGTTTGCGTTGGGCTCCAGATTGATGCCAACATTTCAAAGGGGCACACCTCATCAGTTTCAAAAGCTCAATTTACTTTAAGTAGCCAGCAAAGCTTACCCTTATTTTTAAGTACCTGTTTATACCTGAGTTTCCCTGACATGCAGTGACAACTTGAGCATCTCAAGAGAAACAGTTTTCTTGTGAGCCTGGAGACCTACCGGATTAGGCAGGTAGGTCATAAATGCTGTCAGCATTAAGCTTGTTTTTAGTGCAGTGCTCTCTGGATTTCCATTTTGGTCTTTACTGACTTGGAGTACATATAATAGCACACAGGCATGACCTCATCCAAAGACAATTTATTTAAAATTTCCAAACCCTAAAAAAGCTTAATTTGTGGGTGGTAGTTTATAACCATTTCTAAAATTTCTTCCTGTCTGTAGTACCCAGTAACTTTAGTCCTGGAAATCTCTCTTTTATTATAATGGAAAATACCAAAGATATGAGAGCATAGAAATATGTGCTTACTAAGGGAGCTTTCTTTCTTTTAGAACCTTCTGAAGCTCCGCCCTGGGAGAGATTAAATATAAAAGTTCGCGCTTTCCCACTTCCCAGTTCTATCTCCACACATCAAACAAATGAAAATCCTTCCAAAACTCATCTCTCTTCATGCCCACACTCAAATATGCTGTTTTATGTGGGTCGAACAAAGTCTTTTTCTGATTTTTCTCCCCATCTGTTCTTTGAATAAACATGCATCCTAAAGAGAAGGAGGACTTAAAGGATCAAATTTGGTTCCTGTATTTGGAAATGCTATCAAAAGACCACACCGCACTTGGCCATTCAGTCAAGCTAGATGCCGTTTGCTTCTAATAGCACTTAATTACTTCCCACATCACTTCTTCATCTGCATGACTTGGCCAGTATGAGGTTGGGAAAAGTTAAAAAGAAAAAAAAGAAAAAATCCCAGGTGTGTGAGGTGGTAGAACTGCTGCCTTTGGCTGTGTCTCCACCAGACCAATGCAACTAGTCCTTTTAGGTAAGCAAATTGACTGTGCCAGGTGTCTGGAATTGTAGAAACCAGATAACTAGAGATGTAATCAGTTGGTTTTTAAATTTTTAACTTGTTGTTTGGCTGCCCCAGACAAATGCCTCAATTTCCTTCTTCTGTAAATAAATTAATACCTGGTGAGATGTAAAAGGCCCCTTGAACAGAAAACAACGTTCTGATGAAACTCTGAGAGAAGATACGACCCAAAGTATGAAAAATTCAGAAGAAATTATAGTATCTTCAAGGCAGAATTTGGTTACCCTGATTAATTAGGGTTTTTTTTTTTTTTTCTTTTTCTTCAGATAAAAAGAGGGGAGAGTGGAGTAAAGAACTGCCTAACCTAATGTAAATTTTCAGCTTTCAATAAATATTTCCAGCTTAAACCCTCTGAGTACATTGTGAGTATGTTTGTTCATCTGAATTGAATTTTGGTGGCATAATATACAAAGACTAGTTGTTTTTCTTACCACAGTTTAGTTCAAACCTGGGGTGGGCAAACTTTCTTTTTTTTTTTTTTTTTTTTTTTGTAAAGAGCGAGATACTAAATGACTTAGGCTTGTGTTTTGCAAATCAGAAGCAAAATTGAGGATATTGTGTGGGGACTTCTATGACAAGAAAGGCAACTCTTGCCCCTTCACCATCGTGTTTGTCTGATGGGCCCTTCTGGACCATGAGTACACTTCATACACTGTCACTGTCAGCTGGAGGGAAACTTTCTCCAGACATTTGAGGGATTGGGGCCCGTGGGCTGGCAGGAGTGTGTGGGGATAGGGAAGGATGGGTGGTTACATGTACAGTAACAGAGGGGAATGGAGGTGGAGGGAGACACCCCAGATGGGTTTCTGTGTCCACTGAAGCAGCACACATGAGCCATACGAACATAGGCATCGGTCTGGATTTGGCCTGAGCTCCAGCTATCTGTTGTACATTTCCTCTTAGCTACTTGGCAGGCTGTTTAAAGAAAGACATTCCAAACTGAACTCATTATTACCTTCTTCCTTCTGTGCCCTATTTCTATAAATAACACTACTTCTCATCCATTGCCCAAGTCAGAAGTTTTGTGTTCATTTTCCACACCTTCTTTCCTTCATCTTCCTTTGTAGTCTCCCTTTTTTTCTTTTTTTGCCATATAGCTACTGGGTTGGAAGCAACTAAAAGACAAGAATACATCTGGCTTATATTTATGTGATGAGCTCTCTGTAGAGTGGCTGACACTGAGTAGGCTTTTAAAAAAATTGGTTGTGGAATTAATCTATCCATTACCAAGCCCAGTCAGTTCTTCTTGATTATTTTATTCTCCCACTCAAAATTCTTCAGTTGGTTTCCTTTGGATATAGAGTAAATATAAAATAGTTAGCAGACTGCAAAACTCTTCCTGTTTTGACTTTGCTTATCCTAAAGAGTAACCATAGAGAATCGCATTAAATATACTAACATCTCTCATCTGTTGTGTCTCTGTCAGGCCATGTTGTTTCCACTGCTTGGAGCACAGTTTCCCCTGTTTTTATATGGTGATCCCCGACTCATCCTTCCTGATTTGACTTGGTTATCACATGCGGAAAGGCTTCTCAAGTACCAGTCTTCTCAATAGGTGTCTGTTCTCAGAGCATCAGGCTTCTACCTCTTTCAGAA